TTAGAGTTTAATTTTTAATTTTTGTTTCTTTTTCTTTCAGCTGCTCCCTTCTTCAGGGGTCACCACAGCGAACTAACACAGAGATTTGGCAATTGTTTTTTGCCTGATGCCCTTCCTGACACAACCACAGACCACTGAGCTACCACAGCCCTCTGTGTGGAGCAGGGAGCTGCCGTCTAGGGTGCCCGGGGGAGCAGATGATGGGGGTTAAGTGCCTTGCTCAAGGGCACAGAGTGGGGCAAATGAGGGTGGAGGCAGGTGTTTCATCTTTACCACCCACATTTTGATGTTGTCAGTTCACTAGGATGAAACGGCGTCCTTCCAATCACAGGCTCGCCTTCTCTAACCGCTGCACCACCACTCCCCATAGTTACAATAGTGACAGATTTTGTTATTTTAGATACATTTGTCTTAAATGTGAGCTCAATAATTAATATGCTAAAACTTTAACCAAACTTTTACATGTGGTTATTGTTGATCAAACTTTATAGCCTGGCTTTTTGTGATGCTAGTTCCTAAACTTTGGAAGCATATCTGTCCCGAAATGAGTGATGATAATGAGCAATTATATTAAACAAAAATGTGTGTTTTAGGTTTACAACAACCAAACAAGCATCGAGTTTTTCAAGTAGTGTTTGTTCTATCCAGTACAACCTTACCATGTGATGCCGGTGCGGTCACAGGCTTCACATTTCTCTCAGAGGCTGAGAAGATCTGTTGTTCGATGTCTGACAAGTTACTGGAATCATCTACAAGGAAGGCACGACTGGCTTCCTGTGAAATTGACTGCATCTCCAGGATGTCTGCGTCCTTCATCCCCACAACAAAAACCTTCACACCCATCACGCTCAAGTTTTCCACTGCATTTCTGACATCGTCGTTAGACCGTCCTCCAGTTACAAGTACCAGTATCTGAGGGACGCTATGTTGGCGCCTGCTTCCCGAGGAAACCGTGAAAATGTGGTCCTTGACGTAGTTCAGCGCCGCACCAGTGTTGAGAGGGCTGCCTCCTCTGTGTCTCAGGCTTTTCACATTTTCAGCAACACTCTGCTGTGTTTGGTGTGTGTTCAGAAAGAAGTCAGCTGAAGGCGCTTTGCTGTACTGTACCACAGAAACTCGGTCTTTGTTCTCATCCACATTGAGTTTCTGCACCATTCTCTCAACAAAGTCCAGCATGACAGTGAACTTCTTTTGCATGTTGTCGGAAGAATCCAGTAAAAACACAAAATCTCGTTGCATAAATTGTCTTTGTCCAGTGGAACCTTAGACATAAAAATTACAAAAGTGGTGAAGCTGAGTTAGAGATAAGATATAAGAGGTTCTGGTCAGTTTGTTCCTCCATCAAACTGTACCTTCACTTTATGCCCAGCAGTTGCCATTTATTTTTATAAATTAATTACCATTTTGTGCGTAATGGTTGACATTTTGTACCAATGTACAATGTATTTGCTCGTGCACAAATAAATATCAGTTTTGTACTGATATTTATTTGTGCACGAGCAGTCCATCATCGCTTGGTACCATGAGGTAACCTGGTTATCCTGTATCCCGATACCAGTAGCAGTTGCACAAAACTAGTGCTTCTGAGGTTTGATAACATTTTGCTACTTGTGCCTTTTAGCTTGCATTCTTCACCTTTATACTTCTGACATTTAGCTAACGTTTTTAAAAAATCTACTACCAATTTGCTACTTCCACTTTATAGCTAGCCTTTTGCTGCATTTACCGTAAAGCTAATAATTAGCTACATTTAGCTTTCAGCTTAGTTTCAGCTTCTTTAACAGTTTTCAGAAATAATTATCTTTAATTTTACAAATTAAAACGGTATTAACAGTTCAGTTATTAGCTTTTTTAGCTTCAGCAGCTTTCAGAAAAAAAAAATGTTCAGCAATAAGCGTTCACACCGAATTTCTGCAGGAAATGCACATTTTGCTAGTTTAAACTACATTTAGTTTATCTTAGATCAAAGCTTAACAAACATTTCTCTTCTTCCTGCAGCAAAAGGAGAAACTTCAACTTTGGTAACGGTTCGCTACAAGGAGACCTGGCTGCATCAGATGGTGCTTTTTTAAAGCCAACAATTCTGGGTAAGCAATGAAAAATGCTGTAAAAGTAGTTTTGTGGAGGTACAAATTGACCTGGGGCTGTATCTAAGATATGTAAACTGCCTTACCTAAAACACCCATTGTTTTTTCGCTCAGCTGCTGCCTTGGCACCCTTTTCACAAACGTCACAAGCTGTTGATAAATGCTTCCAAAATCATCAAATCTGAGTAAGGAGAAGGCGTAAGAAGGGTTGTGTGCAACCGTTTGGAGCTCTATGATGTCAGCGTTTCTTGTACCGACACAGAACGGAACAATCTTTTCGTCTTTTAGAGCAACAGCCGCTTGTGAAACATCGTCCTGAGATCTCCCCCCAGTCAAGAGAATCAGTACCTGAGGAACACCTTCTTCACGCCGACTTCCTGAGGAAGCAGCAAAAGCCCTCCTCCTCACGTAGTCCAGGGCCGCGCCAGTGTTACGGGATTCACCCCCTTTATGGTTCAGCTGCAGGACCGCGCTAAGCACGTCATGTTTATCCATGTAGGTGTTCAGACCGAAATGTGTCTGTTGGTCTTGACTGTACTGAACTACTGAAACACGGTCATTGTTTTCACCAACATTCAGAGTTTCTACCACTTGTTGGACAAAGCCTTTCATCAGTGGGAAGCCACCCAGAGTTTCATCTGATCCATCCAACAGAAACACAATGTCTCTCTGAGGAGACTCTAATTCAACTAGAAAAGAATACAAGGTACAGGGTTAGACATAAGATCAAAAATTAAAAGCTTAAAGTACAGTTTGTAAAACCATACAATTTGGTACTCCAAATAATGCAACATAAACACGTCAACTGCGTAAAGAAAATTATTTGTTTTTGGTTTTTTTGTTGTTTTTTTGGGGGGGGTGGGGGTGGAAAAAGGATATTGAGAAACTTGCAAGTGCTTAAAAACAAACTTCTAGTAAATAATGGATCACTGTCTGAAGGAAGAGCCAAAAAACTTTCCAGCACCTAAGTTGGAAAAGGATAAAAGCAAGAAAAACACAACCAAGATGTTGCATTTGCAAGAAGACCACAAGGAACATGAAACTGGATGACTGATCTTTGTAGAAGATGATAGCAATTCAAATTCTGAAAGAAGATGTGTAGATGGACATGAGCTGATAGCCAGTATTTATCTCAGCTGTGAATCTGAGACGCTTCTAAACCACAAGACTCTCACTTTGTTTTTCTGTCCAGATGAATTCTGCAAACACAGGCTTTAGGGACGAAAGTTCACCAAAGACAGACAAGTTGAAGACATATCTGGTTTGGGCGTGTATGGACTGAGGCTGTTTTTCTGCTAAGGATATACAAGACAACGTCACTGCATAGAATGAATAATGAATGGTAAATGGACTGTACTTATATAACGCCTTTCTATCTTATCGAGTTACTCAAAGCGCTTTACAACAATCTGTGCCTCATTTACCCATTCATACAGCTTTCTACTAGATTCTCATTCTAATGAGACTAATCAGAGCTTTATCACATTCATACACTGATGGGACACACATTGGAGGCAACGAGGGGTTCAGTGTCTTGCCCAGGGACACTTCGGCATGTGACTGCTGGTGGATTCGAACCCCCAACTCTTGCATTGGAGGACGACTGCTCTAACCACTCAGCCACAGCCGCCCGAATGAACTGGGACATATGCTGTAAAATCTGGGAAGAGAATCACTGCAGTCGAGCCATGAGTGGGTCTTCCAGCATTGACACAAAACATGCCACCAAGGCAAGAAGTGGCTAAAAAAGAAGTACATTAAGGTCTTCGAACAACCAAGATCTCAGACCTGTAGAGGATTTGTGGAAGACTTGAGCATTTAAGTTGCTAAACAGCAATCAAGAAATCCAAAGGATTTATCTAGTTCCTGTAAAGAAGAGTGGGCCAAAATCACTCCAGAGATGCTTTCAACCCTGGTAAAGCTACAAGAAACATAGATCTTACCAAAGAAAAAATTATACCAAATAATTCTGGTTGTGCTTTAGGATCACTTATTTAACACGATACCACTCAAATCAGTTTTGAACCTTTAGCTGAGTTTCTGTTTGTCTCTCAATTAAAATAACTTTACCATAAAAATAGAGACTATCTTTTTGCATTTGTAAGTGAGTAAACTGTTCCATTACAGTAAAATGCAGGGTATCTGTTCTCAAGCATAAAGAAAAGTGGAACGTAGCAACATGTGTGAATCTGGGTTCTTACCTACTAAATCAGAGATTCCATTCGTGGTTTCCTTTTTGCCTGTGCCTATGTTCAGCTCAGCGAGAAGCTGCGACTGAACCGAGGGTAACTGGGAAAAGTCAGCAATCTCGTAAGTGAACTCAGGTTTAAATGCAATCACTTCCAGCTCTGTGCGGCTTGCATCCCCCACTCCCACACCAAAAGACACAATTTCATGTTCTTTAAGAGCGAAAGCCGGCCCTTCCACGTTGTCGGTAGATGGTCTGCTACTGAGAAGAATTAAAATCTGCGGCACTCCTTCTAGTCTTCTGCTGCCGGTGGAGGAAGTGAAGACTCTGTGCCTCACAAACTGCAGAGCTGCACCAATATTTAGTCTCCTACCACCTTTGTGTGCTAAATTATCAATGGCGTTTATGTAGTCGCTCTTTGCCTTGTGAGAATTTAGATAAAAGTTAACCTTGGGGTTATCAGCAAACTGAACCACAGACACTCTGTCAAGGCTCTCATCCACAAAAAGGCTCTCCACTGTGCTTTTAACAAAGTGTTTTATGGCTGGAAATCCATTTCTGGTTTTATCAGAGCCATCCAGCAGGAACACAATGTCTCTTTTTGAAGCAACATTTTGCACTACGACACAAATAGGGTTCAGTTATTTTGTTTGTGCATTGAAACACTGGAGAAAAACATTTGCAGTAAGTTTAGTCAAAAGAGGGAGAAAAGTTTTCTGTCCTACCTTCTTGTAGAAGGACTGTCAGCTCCTCCTTTGGTAGGCTCACGTAGTTGTTGAGCCTTTGTGGGATGGTGCCGAGTTCACTGAATTCTTTCACTTTGAATGCAAAAGAGGGGTTGTGTGCGATTTCCTCCATCTGCCTCTTGTCTGCATTCTTGACACCAACACCAAACGGAACAACCCCCTCCGTCTTCAGCTCACCAGCCGGTTCTTTGACATTATCTGCAGACCTGTCTGCAGCCAAAACGATCAGAAACTGTGGGACATTTTGAGTCGACCTACTACCGGAGCCTTCAGACATGGCTACGTCCTTCATGTATCTCAGAGCAGCTCCTGTGTTCAAGCTGCGTCCTCCAGCCAGCGTCATAACCTGGACAGCTCTGATTACTTCGTCTTTGGTTTGATAAGTGTTGAGATAGAAAACTGGGGTCGGCCTCTCGCTGTGCTGAACCACCGAAACACGCACCTTGTCAATCCCAACATCGAGTGGTTCGATTATTTTGATGATAAAATCCCGGATGTAGGGAAAGTCTTCCCGAACGCTGTCTGTGCCGTCAATCAGGAAAGCAACGTCCCGTTCAGCTCCAGTAAGAACTGAGGAAAAACAAGAGAAGAAAATTAATCTGTTTTAGTTTAATCTTCTTTTGGATTTATATCTAAACCTGCCCATTTTGACTGCTCCCAATGAAGATCTGAATATCTTCATCTCAACGTAGAAGATCTCATGACTCACTAAAAACTGCTGGGTTTAAAACAACACAGTTTGTAACCCTGTATCAGGTTAAATGTGAACCGAGCCCACTCTGGGAGGTTTTAATTCAGCAGAGTTGGCTTATCATTTTGACCACCCTACTGGTTGAAGTGTGCTACCCAAAAATCAAGGTAAAATGACTAATCTGTTGAATTAGAGCTGTGAAAAACTGGGTTAAAAAGATCACACAAGGGTTAGTGCTACCTGCCTATAGCATCAGATATAGCACTAACTAAGGTTATTTTAGGAATCAAAACTCCCTGTTTGGTGCAAACTAAAGTTAATAACAAAGACAACCAGGGTAAACATCTTCTTACAAGGTGTTTTGACCACATTAACTTTAACGAGGTCTAGTCAAGTTTGATTTGGTCAACTTCTGGCCTAAAATTTTGAACTTTAAAGAATGACACAGCTCGACTCTGATACAACCTAAGTCAAAGCTTTTGACCCAATATTTGGTCAAAACAATCCAGCAGCTTTTTCCCAGCATTTGAATTGAATTTGTATCTTGTAAACCTTCCTTTTCATTGTTGTAACCTTCTTTTCTGTCACAAACCACCCCTTACAGCCAACTCCACCTATTATGCACAGTTCTTTGGATGGTTGACTCCATGTGTACAAACGCATGCACCTTCAGGCGCCTTTAGTTTTTGCAGTTTTACTCTTAACACCTGTCTCCGTCTCATTCGCACACATGGATTTTGTTTTACTTTTACCGACTTTCATTCCTTTTCTCTGTCTCAACCTCTCCAGGCTCTCTTCCACCTGTTCCTTTCTTTTACTGCAAATAAATTCTGCAAACGTCACATTTCATGGAGGTTCCTTCCTGATATCATCTGCCAATAAGCCCATCACCAGCAATATCATGTACTTCTTTTGTTTACATTTATTAAAAAAATGTTATATTTAGTTAAATGAATAGTAGAAAAGCAGAAAATACAAAACTAACCTGTTCCCTCATATGTTGTCACATCTGTGTCACCAACAATCGTTATCAGACTTGGCAGAATTTCTTCATCCAAAGCCAGAAATTCTGAGAAGCTATCTCGATGATAAGCCAGTTGTGGAACAAAGGCGATCGTTGCCAATTCTTCTGGTTCTGCTTGTCCAGAACTGACAGTGAAAGTCAAAATGTCACTTATAGCCAGTTTGTCAGCCACGGCTTTAGCGTCATCTTGGGATGGGCCTCCAGTTATCAAAACCAAAATTTGCTTGGCAAAGTTCTTCCCACGCGAACCACCTGAAGACTGGAACATATTTTGCTGTGCGTAAGTCATGGCAGCTCCTATGTTCACCAACGAGCCTCCAGTCAGCCTGAGCTGAGAGATTTTTTCAACAATGTCTTCCTTGTTGTTGTAGGTGTTCAGGTAAAACTCCACTCTTGGCCGCTCTGCGAACTGAATCAGACCGATTTGGACCCGGTCAGGCCTCACTTCCAGCCGGTTGACAATGTTGATCATGAAGTCTCTCACGTAGGGGAGGTTAGTGCTTCCTACGTAGTTTGAGCCATCCACAAGGAACACGATGTCTCGGACCACTTTTTGAGTCTGCACTGTGGTGATCTCCACCACTAAAGATAAAAACAAGACAAAATGACTGTGTAATTTATCTTCTTACAGTTTAGGCAAAAAAATCTAATGACTTTCATTAAAACTGTTGTGCTGGGAGTTCTTCATGCTGTTTTAGTATTATTAGTTCCTAATGCTATATATGTATGTGTGTGTGTGTATACTGACCATCCCAATCTAATACATCTAAGTGTTGGAAAGGATCCTTTTGGAAATTTGATTGTCCTTTTGAAATCCAAGATGGCCACTGTAAATGACAGTGGCCATCTTGGATTTCCACTGTCCAAGATGTAGATGTAGTTGTGTGGCTACTTCTACACCTAGGTGTAGCCACACAACTAATTGGAAGTCTGTACCTCACTTATTTTTTAAGTTATCATGCTCACAGCATTCGCAAACGAACAGATCGAGGGTCATTCCAATTCCTGCTTTTCGTTTTATGATGGGATGAGTACATATCTAAGAGTTGTCATTTTCTGATGACTGGCTTTTTTTTTAATGATTCATAAAAATATATATATAATTTATAGGGACGCACGATATTATCGGCATGGTATCGATATCGGTCGATGTTAAAGTTAAATATCGGCCATTCCATCAAAATAATTCACCAATATAAAAGACGCCGTTTTTGTATGACAACCCAGTGATAAGGATGTCTGTAGCGCCAACACCACATGAGGCCGTCACGCATGCCTACCTGATCTGATCACAGCGGAGAGGAAGAAGTCAAAATGTCGACAGTGTGGAAGTTTTTTGTCCCGTTGAAGATAATGGATTCTGAAGATTTATGGACTACGTTGAGCCTCGCTACATCCTCCTTAGTCAGAGATATTTTGCCGACGTAGCCTTACCCGAGTTACAAACCGTCATTTCTGACGTCATTGAGAAGCTAACAGCCGATAGCACTTGGGTGAGTTTTACCACAGACATTTGGAAGTCGTGTTAGCCCCGTTAGCATGATTAGTCTTACGGCACAATGGATAGACAAAAACTTTGATCTTAAAAAGTCTGTCCTTCATGCACAGGAGTGCAGAGGATCCCACACTGCAGCTATAGGAACCTGGAACAAGCCTCCACAAGTGAGACAATCGCAGGTGACTAATGCTAATAAATAATATTTAACACTTTTCATTTAATATAAGTCAAAGTGCTATACCTATGGCTGTTACTGCTGTTACACAATTTTTATAGCAAATAAGCCTAAATAAGAGGGCTATGTTCTGACAAAGGAAAGTGTATAAAAAATATCGGTGTCGGTTATCGGCCAATTTTTTTTAACATATCGGCATATGTCGGCACATATCGGCCAAAAGTCCAATATCGTGCATCCCTAATAATTTATTCTCTTCTGTCATGAAACATAGGTAACCATGTAATAGCCTGTTTCTGCGTCTTTGTTCATCTGTTTGCAGCGAAATATTAACTATTCTATGGATTTTAATGAAACTCTCAGGAAGTAATTAATACAAGTACATCTACATTTGATTACCTTGTGGTATTTCAAAATGGTGGCAACAGCTAAAAGGTTGTTGTTCAGTCAGTTTTGTCAATATTGAACTAAATATGTTGTGGTAGTAGCTGAGACTGATCCACTATTCAAGCTCTTTGAAACTTTGCCATGCAAGGCAACAAATTTTTATCTGCATTTATTGTGTCTTACGTTTTTTGTTTTTGAGGTTTGACTTCATGTGTGTATTCATCAGCCCAAATAAGTGTTTAAATTAAGTATTTATCAACAAGATGAAGGATTACCTGGCTCAGTTGGCTCCTCGACAAGAATCGTCCCACCAGCCAGAGTCGAGAGCGCATCAGTGATTTCCCTCGATTTTCGCATCACTTGTCGGAACTCCTTTGCTGCGAACACAGCTTGCTCGGAGATGGCGATCTGATTCAGCTCCTGCAGATGTGCAGTTTTGAAGCCTGCAGCCAGAGTCAGCACACCTGTTCTCTGCAGGGCCTCAACATGTTCCTGGACACTGTCGCTGGACCTTTTACTGGTCCACAACATCACAAGCTGTGGTACACCTGCCCTGATGCGGCTTCCCTTCTCAGGCCTCAACATGTTTTCCCGCACAAAGCTCAAGGCTGCTCCGATGTTGACGGTCTGCCCTGGTCTCGGTCTGATGTTGTCCAATGCAGGGATTAAGGTTTCCTTGGTATCATGGGAGTTCAGATCCACCACCACTCTCTGGGCTGTGCTAAACTGGGCAACACCCACTTGGACTGCGTTTGGACCGATTGGCCTGGAGGTGACAAACTGCTTGATGTAGTCACGCAACTGGTTCAGGATTGCTGGTCCCATCGTACTGTCAATGAGGAAAATGATGTCTCGTGGTGATACTGCCACCACTGGAAAAAAAGATAAAAAAGATATTTAAATAAATGTTTAACTTAACATGTTTTTACAAGTTTAAAGCCCTATCAGGGTATTTTACACCAATTCTTGCTAACTTTTCATGACTAAGTACTAAATATTTATAGTGGTAAATTTTGATGCTGATCCAGTCATATCTTTGCCAAATCGTACCCTCTCTTTGTACCCAACGGCTGTCATTTCAGTTACCATTTTCTACACAGCTGTGATTGCTTCGAAACATTATGTACCAAATAACGCTCATTTTGCACCCATGCACTCATAAAATGCACGTATCTCCACAACCACTGGAAGATCCAAGCTGTTCTTCATTCTACAGTCAACAAAATGGTTGTTGAAAACTGTTGGTAATGTTGTGCTTATTTTTGCAACAGCTACAATAAACAAACCCTTGCTAAAAGCACTTACAGCCTGTGACAACACACTGCCCTCTTCACGAGTGTAATGCGCAGCCGTGTGTAAGATGCTGAACTGATACAGCTAGGGTGATGCGTATCAGTTAGAACAAATAGATTTTGTTGATTTTTGCTGACGGATGAATAATCATCAAGAAGGAGAAACCTCTCCTAAAATCGCGCCGTCGTGGTGTGTGAAAGACGCCTCAGACCCAAACTCTTGAGCATGCAGGACTATTGAAGCAGATGTTGCTTGTATAAATTGCAGACAAAGCACATCCTGGTCTACTTGAGTATTAAACAACTGACGTTTACGTCTAACCACATAAATACTAACATAAAATCCGCTAATCTTAATTTAAAAAAGGTACTCCAGTAGATTAAATCATAGACATTAGCATGGCTGCCAAGGTGGGTACAAGGTGACCTGAGGTAGACGGCCTGGGTATGAAATGATCAAAGATAGAAAGGTACGATTTGGCAGAAGTATGACCTGACCTTCAAATATAAAGGTTCAAGTACTACCGACACAAGGAGAACAGAGAAATGCATTACATTATATTTTATCATTTAAGATTTGTACATATAAACTGTAATTTATGAGAAGTTTATTTTTGCAGGTATGACATAAAATTCAGTATCCAGTACTAAGTTTTACACATTTTAGGACTCAAAGTTCTTCCTTCCAAGGCTGCGACTTCTCTGCAGTATTGGTACAACTGCAAACTAATATATGTGTATTTTTTAATTACATTAGCAGGATGTTAAAATCCTCATTATCATCTTTAGAATGACCCTGTTTTCATAACAGCTGCAGATTATTTAAACCTCTAATTGTATCATTTCAACTCAACATCTCACATGTAGAAACGACAACAAAAAAGTTATCGTTATTTATAAACTTGTTGCCACCGAGGTTATGTTTTTGGTATTGTCTGTGCACAAGATTGCTCAAAAAGTTATGAATGGATTTTCAGGAAATTTTCAATGTTGAAGTTGTCACAAAGAACAAATTGTTAAAATTTGGTGGTGATCTGGATCACAATTAGGGTCCAGGAATTCTGTTAAAGGATTCTTGTCTGTGCACAAAAGCTTACTGTATCAGTGGCCTTTGGGTCTTGGCAGAGTTGTGCGCTCTCTGAGTGCTTCTAGTTTTGAATGCACTGTTGATACTTGGCCTAAGAACATGTGGAAGGTAGCAATACATGATACAGCCCAGGACATACCAGGTAAGTACATAATAGGTACTCAATATATACGTGGGAAGTGCCAGGTAAGTACTCTGGACCTATTTGGTACGTATTCTGTACATTGTAGGTAAGTACCAGTTAAAAACAGGCATGTACCTGATAAGTAACAGTTATGTACCAGGTATGTACCAGTTATGTACCAGGTACATACCAGGTTTGCACCTATCATGTACCAGATATGTACCAGATATGTGCCTAATAGGTAACGGTTATGTACCAGGTATGTACCAGGTACATACCAGGTTTGTACCTATCATGTACCAGATATGCACCAGGTATGCACCCAGTATGTGCCAGGTATTTGGCATTAATGTACCTGATACAAAGCAGTTATATGTACCCAATACGTAACAGTTAAGTACCAGGTATTTTGCAGTTATGTACCTGATATGTACCAGTTATGTGCCCGATATATACGTTATGTACTAGGCATTTACTAATTATATACTAGATATGTGCCAGTTATGCACCATACCAGGTATGCACCAGTTTTGTAACAGATATTTACCTGCTATGTACCAGGTACGTACCAGCTATGTACCAGGTATGTACCAGCTATGTACCAGGTATGTACCAGCTATGTACCAGGTATGTACCAG